TTAAATACTTTGTTTGAAATCGGACTTCATAAAATTACTTAGAAATTCTAATGACTCACATTCTAGATACTAATTGAGAATGTTGATCATTGCAGGAAAGGCTATAGCTGTATTTTTGTAACTTTCTTGTGGCTCTTTAAGAATTTAAGAATTGGTAAATATTTCGCTATGCTTTTTTGGCCACCTTCCATTATTAGGAAAAAGGCTGAATTTGTGAGGAGAATCAGTTATAGGACCAACATGAGTAATTTGCTTTTATATCTATATGTATGTAAAATTTCAAGTGTATATTCTTTAACTTGATCTTGGCATAATGTGAATACATAGACAGCTATTTTTGAAAGTGATAATAACTGTTGATTTGCGTAATGATACAGGATTTTTCTCATAGCAACTGGGAAGACTATCATCTTTAGCATGTGGGAATGATTTTAGGCTTTAAGAACACTGTTTTGTTAAATCTACGAACAGCATTAGAGCAAAGGCATTTCTGAAGTGGCGTATGGATTATTTGCTTTGGTATGTCTTCAATATTGATGAAGAATCGCTTTTTTGTTGTGGCATTTGGTAACTTAAATTATTGGGTGCTTTCATTTTAAGGTTCCTTGGGTATAGCGTAGTGTCATCTTCGTTCATTTGAAAGCTGAAGTTTTGTAGTTAGTAAGAAGTACGAACCTGAGTAGAGGATGGCATATTAGTGTTTTGCTGCTGCTGTTATGAGTCTTGTCTCGTGGGTTTTTTTTTTATTATGATCACTAACTAAAATCCCAGCTTCCACGTTTACAAGATTGAGAAAGGAATGAGTGCTTTAAAAACTGTTGAAACCATTTCTGGGAATGGGTTTCTTAGGAAAGAGCTACTTTGGCAAAATGTGGCAGGGTTTATTTTATGTTTTTCAGAAAGCTCATTTCAAATTTTGGTAGTCATGACAGTTTGGTTAACTTTGTTTTGCATGTGTTGTAGAACTGCCTCAATAAATGGCTGAGGCTTTTTCCATTTTCATTTGCCTGTCTTTAAAAAAAAAAAAAAAAGCTTGGAATTGGTAATGAATTTGTTGCATGTTTTAAATCATCAGTTCTTCCAGATTTCTAAAATTACCGGTATCATTACCGATTTCATGATGACTCAGGAATTCTTGCTTTGAATGTAAGCCCAGCTTCCAAGCTCCTTCGTAAGAAATCTCATCTTGGTAGCGAATATCTTAATTTCAGCTTTGGAAATCAATGTTAAATTAACTGAGATGTGAAAAGCAGTGTCTCTGAACTGTTGAGCATGGCTAGTGATAGAAGAACTTGCTGAAGATGATGCTCAGTGGAAGGTTGCTCCCGTAACTGGCTTGGCTCAGTACCCTTCTGTGCAGTGATCACCGGCTGTCCCTGAGGAGGACTATTTCATTCCCCAGCATCAGGAAGAAGCAAGCTAGTACTGCTGCAGTGACAATCATCCCCTTCACTTGCTGCAGATCTTGCATCTTTTCGCAGGAGAGGAAAGGGTGGAAGAGCTTGGTTTTTATGGCAGCTTTTTCAATTAAGTGACGAAACTGCTATTTCTGCTCAGAGATTTAGATCATCTGTGCAAACAGCAACAGCACTTCCACTCTGTTCTTCCATCTTATGTTGCTCCTTAAAGCAAAAGGCATTCTTCAGTTGCTTGAACCAACAAGAGAGTTTCAAAGCAACATGCTTTTTCAGCATGCGTGTCAGAAGCATGTATTAAAAAGATAAAATGATCTTCACCAGCAATATGAATGCATTTGTCATAGTTGTCTCTTGCTTTTGTTTGGTGTAGGTGAAGCCTGCAGCCTCGCACACATGCCGTGGAAAGGTGTCATTTGCTCACTGTGGCTGGTGTCCTTTAAGGCCAGATCTGTTACAGACAGAAGAGTGAGTCAGCAGTGGCATGTGAATTGCATTCCAGTGTAATACTTTGAGAAAATAAGTAAGGTACTTCAGGATGCTTATATTTAGGTGGGGGAGAAATTGGCTTGCCCGTTTAAAAAACAATCATGTTTTTCTAACAACAGTGCCTCCCTCCTCCCTGTTCGCTGTTGGATATTTGTTTTTCAGCAACACTTCAGGTTTTGTGCTGTCAGATTGCAAAACCGCAGAGCATACAACACTTTTATTGAATCAGCATCAGTAAATTGATCCGTATTCTCCTCCCCCTGGCCCATTTGAATTCTTTTTCCATTTTCTTACTGGCATATTGTGGAACACCTTTTGCAATACCAGCTCTGGGTTTAAAAATGCACCTGTAACGATGCACGGTTAAGCTTAAGCATTCAATTCTGCTGGCTTGCTCCTGTTTAAAAGAAGAAATGCATGCGAGCTGTGCATGTACTGCTCATGCATTGCCCTTGAGGAGTGAAGGAGGGGAAGAGGGGTCACGTGAGATGCAGGAGCCAAAAGAGGATCGCGCTTTCCAAAAGCGTGAGACCGCCCCAGTTATTTTGGAACTCTTTATCTCTCTCTGCCTGTGTGTTTTGAGGCTTTGGTGTTTGGACAAGTCTGTGAGCCTGCAAACTGGAAACGCTGCTGTTAAGATGTTCTGTTCCCTTCACTTGGGGTGTCTGTCTGCTTCGCTTCCATCTTGCACCAGCTGGGAATCCTGGAAGGTATCTCATTTCTTAGCCTCTTGGAGAGGAAGAGCCAACAGCAGAAAAAAAGCATCTGAGTATAAACTGCAGGCTGAAACGCATGGAAAAAAATGTGTAGTAAAGCTGACGATTGCGAATAGAAATTTGAGCAAGTTACGTGGGAATTTGGTGAAGTTTGGGCATCTGTCTCATGGGTGATACTATAGTTGAAACTGAGGGTTTTTCTTGATGTGGTGTGTCAAAATGAATTTATTTTACCCCTGTTGCTAGCATGAATGCTTGTCCTCTATGGAGAAGTGCTGTGGAAAGCAGGCTAATATACTGGATTATTTTGCTATGGTAATTTATGTAGCCTTGCTGCTTAGAGCAGGATGCAAAAGGAGGTGCTTTTGAGTATAAATGCTAGAACTGGTGGTAGGTAGAAGTCAGGTTGATATCTGGAATGAGGAGGGAGTGATGGGGTGTGGTAGCTGGTAATTCATTGTTAATAGGTGTAGAGCAGGTGCACATGATTTATAACCAGTTTCTTCTGCTTATGGCAAGTAGTAACTGATAAAATAGTAAATACATTGCTAATTATGTAGTACCTTTTGTTAATTTAACAAAGAGGTGTGGACTGCTTGCAGAGTAAAATGTGTTCAGAGTGAAGTTCAAAGTTTAAGATTTATGTGATTTGATAGTATCTGAAGTTATCACAAGTTCTGAAAGTTAAGCAACGTAATGGTGTTTTTTTTTAAGATAAGCTATTTTTAGAGTTTGGGCAAGTACAGAATAAATTGGAAACCAGACGTGAACCCCTTTCAGTGTCTGTATTTAAGGCAGCTATAGATATTTATTTGGATTTCTCAAAAGCTTTCATATTTTTCTCATTGTCTGCATAAATAATCTTTTGAATAGTCCAAGCAGACCAATGTGTATTAATACTTGGTTTACAACATAGTAAATGCTAATTCTTTTTTTGAGAGTAGAAAACGTTATTTCCGTGTATTCAGTTCTTAATGTTTTTCTTAAGTCTTCTGGTTAATTGTGTCAATGCAGAACTTGGTCCATGTTGCTTCCCTGTGAGTACTTATGCTTGTGGGAATTCTGCAAGGATGGAGTAAAGTAGTTTGTATTCTACTTCAGGCTTTTGTTTGTGTACAAGTAACTGGAATATTAATATCTTGGAAGCTGCTGCAGTTTCTTCCATTCTGATGATTAGTCTTTGGAGCTTTGTTATATTTTAACCATAAAAATAAAAACTATTCTTACAATTGTGGAATAATTTAGGTTGAAAGGGACCTCTGGAAATCACCTGTTTCAGCCCCCTTGTTTAAAGCAGGGCCAACTTCAAACATATCATGCTTTGTTCTTACTCCTTCTAAAATTAGTTTGAGGAGGAGTATGTTAATGCGGTAGGGTATGGTCTGTTTTCGAGCTGCTAGTTTCATTTCTGTTTGCTTTTCAGTGAAGCTTCTTCACTACATTATCGTTTCTAATAATGTTTAAAACTTGAAGTGCTTTCTTTTCTTGAGTTCTGTTTAAAAAAAAAAATAAATCCATATATCATTACACCACCAGGAAAATAAATACCAGTAATTTTCTAGCAATTTGTTGTGAATTCTTTACTACATTGGCTCTAGGTGTAAACTTACAATTTTCTTATTTGGCCTTTTTCCTTAGCACTAATTTTTTTTTTTTTGCTAAGAGGTACTTTTCCTAACTTCTTTATCTCAGGTAGCTTTTGGCAAGTGAATTGCATGTAGTTCAGAATAAGAAACTAGAATATTTTTCCAGAAGTGGGGAATTGTTTTTTTGATAAACAAGATCGATAATCCTTTTCAGATCTGTACATTCCCGTCTATTGCAATATCTTACATTTAGGCATTCAGAGCTACCTTAGCCACTGCTGTAGTGGTCTGTTATGTAAAAATCATGGAAAGTGATAAAAACATTAGTGTTTATGTAGCCTTGCCAGAGCTTGCATGCCTGAAATGCGCCTTTTTGTTTGTTTTGCGTGGTATACCTATTTTGGGATCACTGGGTTTTAATTTCGAACATCTTGCAATTTAGTCACACAAGATTATTTTAATAGTTTCCCATTGGATTTAAAATGCCACTCAAACTGTAGAGAAAGACCAGTATGTAGCATCTATATGATTCTAGTGAGATGATGTATGATAGGAGTGGATTACTTGACTGCTTTTCTAGTGGATTGCCTTTCTAATGGATGTTAACCATCAGCTGCCCAATAGCATAGACTTCTAACAAGTTACCTGTTTGAGATGTAAGGAGATTTCTGTTCTAGTGGCTGTGATCAAAGTATTGTGTTTTCAAAAGTTTCCCTCCTGATTTCCTCCCCCTCCTCCAACCTTTTTCTCAGCTTTTTTTTGAAAATATCCCTTATTACTGCATATATAAAGCTGAATTGTTCACATATGGGAGTCAGAGTTACTGCTGTGACTTTGATACAGTTAATTAATGTCCATTTAATGCTATTGTAGAAATTTCGCATGCTTTACAAATGTTTCCATAACTTGCATATTCAGATATTTATCCAAACATAATTGCTATGGGTTTTCCTGCGGAGAGGCTTGAAGGAGTATACCGGAACAACATTGATGATGTAGTAAGGTAAGTTTTTATTTTTCTTTTCCTTAACTTTTTCTTGTAAAGCATAAGTATCCTTTTCTGCACTCATTTATCTTCTGCTAAGGAAAGGATGTGCGTTCTGACTCATAGAAATGGCAAGATTTTTGCATCTCGTAGATGTTGCCTTATTAGCTTTCCTGAAAAATGTTGGAAACAACGAAAATGATATTTTCAAGAATTTTAGGCCAGGCTGCTGTTCTGGGTTGATCTCAAATGCATGTAGTCTGCTTTTTAGTGTGAAAAATTGACTTCAGTAAATTGTGCTGGAGTAAAAGGAAGTTCTTTGCTTTTAGAAAGATGTCAATCCATGCCTCCGTTCACGGTGTTGAGTGTTTCCTCAGATAGCTGATGGCATTTCAGAATATGTTTGCCCATATCCTTTCTTCAATCGATAAATCAAGTGCTTGAGAAGTTAATTTTGAATTGAAGTAGTAAATATAGGTGACTATAGGTGACTTTAGATAAAGGCTTTTACATCTGGCTGTGTTCAATAATTGTGGATGAGGAGAAAAATCAGCTAAAATTCATTATTGCTGGTGATGCTTTATAGCACACTCTGTAAAAAAAACCTACAGGTTGTTATTTTTAACATCAAATAAAGTTACCTACTCTAAACTGCTGGATACAACTGTGGAAGGTGTACTTAGTGTTTTAGGAGCATCGTTGTAATTTTAGTCACACCCTACGTGGAGAAAGTAGTGTGAGACGTTGCATTAAAAACTAAATACTTGGCAGAAGCTGCCAAATGTTAGTGGTTTTAGGATCCTAAGTTCTGATTTTTTAAGTCATGCGTGATGCCTTTGACATCTTGGGCATTTGAGGTCCTAAGTTCAGTAGCTCTCCAAGAGACTTGATGTTTGGGGATGGGGGGATAATGCATTAAGGGGCATGATTATGCAGTGAAGTTAGAAGTAGATGTGTCTGGGCAAGGAGGTGCTGCTCCCAGGTTTGAGATGCCACAGAAAGTTTCTCATAATTGTTGGCAGGCAGAATTAGTGCAGCTTTAATTTCACTGGTAATTGTTTGCATCCAGGTTTGTACAGAAATGAGTTGAGGCAGCTCCGTAGTTCCCACGCTGGGAGGAATCGTAACCCTCAACTGAGAATCAGTCATCTGGAGGCAGCAACTTCCCTGTGCAGCTGCAGTTAGCTTCAGATGAGTTTGAGGGGATTTCGTTTTTGCATATTTAACCGTCGTGACGAAGCTCGCTATCCACGAATAGCACTGAAAATGTCAGAAGCTGGATTTGACCAGGCTTGCAGAAGCGACCTTGTTCTGTCATGCGGTAGTGAGGAGAAGTCACTTTTCCAGAGCTGATCATATCAGTGAAGTTCAACATAGCAATCTGTAAATATTCTTGCAGAGTGTGTGTGTCTGCTAGAATTGTTAAGAGGCATAAAGTTGTGTTTTCTAATCATATCATTGCACACAGCTTGCACACAAGAAAAAGCTTTTGCTGTCCTTTTGGGACAGTTCAGGGCTGTCCCACAAACTCAAACTATCAAGCCATCTTTCTTTACTAGCAGTCAGAGCCACCTTTTCATTAAGTTGATGTGGGCATTGCATCTGCTATGTGAAATATGTGCTCCCTGATGGACTCCACCTTTAGAAATTGTAGGATAGGGGCAAAGGCTGTGCTTGGAATAAGTGACATGGGAATAATCCAAATAAATAATAATAGGCAGTAGTCTTTGAAGGCCATCTTCCTTTCACAGCATTGATTTCCGTTGCTTCTGTATGAAGGAAAAGATATTTTATATGTTAAGTATGTAGATATGTGTAAATTAGACTTTTGAAAGGGAATGACTACATAATTATTAAGTTGTCCATAAACACTCTGATCAAAAGGAGTAGTGATCACCTAAAAGTGTAATCAACCAAATTAAGATACGGAGAGATGTGAATTAAATGGCTGTAGGGAACTGGATGCTAAAGTAGTGTTATGTTTGTTGCCCCCTATTTTTAAACGAGAATAATGCACAAAATGTGATCATGCAGCATTCTGCATGTTGCAATCAGCAGGTCCTCATCTGCTCCTGTTGTCTTTTTATTGCAGAATTTTTTTCCAAGAGCTTTTTATGCAGAAATTCAACATGTTTGAGCTCTGGAGCAATTGGTATTGATCCAGGATATGCCAGTGGGCTTTTTCTGAATAGCTGTTATCCTGACAAATTTAATGCTAATACTGTATGAGAAGTACAACCTGGTCTGCTGGCTGTCTCCTGTGACTGATGCTTTGAGAGGTTTTGGATGGAATTTTGTCCTTAGAAAAATACTTGCGTGAAAGCTTATACCCAGCTTTGTGGATATTACTGGCAGAAGCGGAGTCAGCTCTCCTTGCTCTCCAGTGTGTTTTAAACAAGCGGGGACATCTCCTGAGACAAATCACCATGTCCACCATCTTCCTTAATCTCTTGAAGTCTGCCAACAGGGGCGCCAGTGGGAGTCATGAAATATTTTGCTGATGAAATTGGAATCTCATACTCAATGCTGTGCAAGGAGCATTCACATCTGTTCTTATTTTAACGCATCAGTTTAACCACAGAGTTCTTCTAGGTTCTTCTGGAATATTATGACTGATAACCAGAGCTTGTTTTTGCTTGAGCTTTCCAGGATTTTAGCAGCTAGTGTCTCTTTTCAATTTGAACAGCATGTTCTGTCATGGCTAATTAAATTCCTTCTGGCTGATGTGCAGATACACACTGTTGATGATGTTAAGTGTAAACATTTGTATATTATTTCTTCTTGAATGTTGCCAGGTGACACATCATATGTAATCATGGCAATTTTGATGAATCATGTTTGCAGTTTGGCTCTCAAAGGCTTGTATGGGAAGTTTTTGTTACAAAGTGAGCATGAAAATGAAATGAGTGTGAAAAAGTATAGTGGTCTTCCTTCTCCTTTCTGAACCCAGAATATCATCAGGCACTGCCCTCAGACTTCAGTGGCAAATAATGGCCATTTTAAAAATCTGGTATTAAAATGATTGTCTGTTCTAACTTGAATACGAAAGTTGTTTTAACTGCTTTTTTAACTGGAAATACCACTGTGGCAACATATTTTGCATAGGTGATTAAATTGGAAGTGTTTACAGATACCTTGTGTAATTGATGCTTTCTGCTTTTAAAAATAAACAACCCTTCTTCAGCTTAACATACTGATGTGCAGGTATCTTAGAAATCAGTGCAGATTGGTCCATACAATAAATATTTCAGTTGCAGGTCAGGTCTTGGTCTCCTCAGTTGCATAAGTAGTCTTATTCATACTACTGGGTTATTTGTATGAGTGAGGTTTGCAACACGGTGCCTCCTTGACTTTGAGGCACTGCAGGGCCAGCTGGGACTTGGAATGCAGAACTGCACATGCTGAATGGTGCTTTAATGATGCTGCAAATTAAGGTCACCATTATTGCAACGTATATTAATACATGCCTTTTTTCTTCTACTTAAGGTTTTTGGATTCAAAGCATAAAAACCATTACAAGATATACAATCTGTAAGTATGCTCTTATAGATGTATTTTCCAAAATAATGAGTTCTAAAAATAGCTTATGAGTGAAAGTGGCTTGTTGCTGTACTGAAGTAGAGCTACAGATGATTTGCACATTTCTTAAAACAATTAAGCCTGATTGAGAGCACTGTTACTTCATTTAGAGGAGCTGAGTGAGGTTAAATGAAATGCTGGTATGTATTCATATTACTTGAACGCTTTTAAATGACTTGGCATCTAGCCCATCTGGAGCTTGTACCATGTGATTAAAAAGTGAAAAGTAATTCACAGCAGGCTTTCTGTTAATGTATTAATGTCCACAGTGAAGAAATTGCCAAATTAATATTTTCCTGTTTTTTCTTTTTTTTTTTTATCGAACTGTATTGGTACCCAGGTTCTGTTTGCTTCCTCACTATTCTTGACTGTCCCTGTTTATTACTTTGAAAAAGCTATTGCAGCAATTTGTAATGTGATGGTTTCTCACTTTTGTAAGTGTAATGTTTTCCTCTGAAAATTCAGTTATGCAGAAAGCTGTTCTTGTTACAGAAGGGTTTTTTTTGTTGTTATGCCTTGATTATATGTTAGCTTAGGCTAATTTCATTTGTATGTATCATTTGGTGGTATCAGCTGATGTTGAAGAGCAGGTCCTGGTTTTCCTACCCCTCATTTTTTCCCAGAAATCTAAATTGAAGATTTATTGATTCTCTGAGCTGTTAAGGCTTTATTTTTTTTAAAATGAATATGTTTCTAAATATCTGCAATTAATGGAAAAATTACTGTAGTATGGAAATCCAGGCAATGCATTGCATTGTAATCTGTCAGTCATTAAAACGTATTTAAATATGGCTCTAAATTAGTTGAAGGATTATGCATCAAGCAACTGTTTCCTGTTGGAAACAGGAAAATGCTCTCAACATTATCAAATGTTGGAGCAAAGTGATACTAGAAGCTGAGAAGTTGATTACCGGTTGTTGAAGTTGTCTGTAAAGTCTGTGGTAGGATGGGACAGACAAAGATATGTAAATAAAATATGCATTGAAATAAACTAATTGGATACCTAGCATACAGTTCAGTAACAAAATTATTTTCTCCAGCTTAGAAGCTCTCCAGAATGTTAGTCTTTTAATAAATGTTGTCTTGGTGGTACTTATGGATGGAAAGGACAGTGCTTCCTAGAATAGCTGATAGCTCCTTCTGTGTGTACCTGCAGCTCTCTAAAGAGGTAACTTTCTGGATATCTTCCTTTGAAGTCTTCTGGAGCTCAGCGCTAGAGTGCTGTATCATGTAAAATCTAACTACCGTGGTTTTATTAGACCCCCCTGAAGCCTCCTGAGAGCTTCTGCTTGGTTTGGGGAGCAAAGCAGAACAGGACAGATAAAACCCTCCTGCTTCTTGGGGCTGAGTTCAACTGTCAGCTTCTGTGAAGTGTGGCTCTGATATTATTTACAAGATCAGGGTTTGCTGAGCTGCCTGATACTGATCTTGTTTCGAATTGGCTTGAGAGGTGACAGGTAAAACAATAGGTTGCTGTGTGTTAACTTCTAGGCTTGGTCAGAACGTAAGAGTTTAGTAAGACTTCTGTGCATCTTAGCAAGTAGCTCCTCAGGGAGGTGGTGCTTGAAAAGTTTCCATTTTGCTGTATGCTAGCCAACCTCATTTTACTTTAGAAAAAAGCAAAAACCAATCCCCCAACCCTACATGGGAACAACTTTATAAAGTTTTTAAGTGAGAAGAGCTGTGACAAGACAAATGCTTTTGACATTTATGTTGCTGATACATGTATTTTCAACTGTGCAAAGCACTTGTCCAGGTGTGCCGAAAGTTTTTGTCTTCAAGTTCTTCATATAAAAACTTCCAGGTTTTGGTGCAAGAACCCCCCATCGATTTTCCTTGTTGCTAATTTCAAAACAATTGCAAGTGAAACTTCCTAAAATTACTATATTCACCCTCAGATGAAAACTTTTGCAGGAGAAAATGTCCTTTTAAATTGCGTGGGTTTTCTTCCTCCCCAAAACATGGATCAGTTGCAAATGAAGATTCCAGTGATTACTGCACAGCTTGGAAAGCATAGCTTTTAAACTGTGTATCTCTGGCTAGAGAGGCCAGTTTATCTCTTTATCTTTAGGTGGGCGAAATGTATACACATGTTAAGTACATAAATGCCATTAGGTGAATTGTTGCAATGTTTGGTCGTGAGATGGGAAGAAATTGCAGCCTTAAGGTATTTCGGAGAACAGCATCTCTTTAGGTTAAGCTGATCCTTTGTAAATAATCAACCTATTGTCTGTGTTTAAAAGAAGGAGGTGGGAGTTCAGAGGAGTTATGTGATTATATTCAGAATTATTTCAAACACTGTTATGGGGTTTGAGTTCCCTTAAGGTAGCTGTTATATGAAGTTGATAATAATGTGAGTATTGAGCAGTTTTATTTAAAAGGATTTAGAGAGATTTTTCTGAACCGATGCTTAAATGATGTCAGTTATGCCTCATCCTCACATCTTGGCTTTTAACTTCCCAGTGAATGTTTGAGCAATTTCATTTTGTTTCTTGTTTGTGTTCGTTTTTTCATGTGTTTCTTTAACCCTTTGCTATTTCTTCAGTATTCTTCTTTATTTTAACATGTTCTTTCACTTTCATCTCCTAAATTCACATACTGCCAAATTGGTACCTCCCCTATTGTAATAATCTCCATCTTCTCCAGTATATTTCTTTTAATTGTCCCACTGGCAGATAGTTAAAGGAAGGAGCTATAATGAACAATGTGGACTTCATGTGCATACTTTCTGTACCTCTGTGTACATGGGGTTGGGCTTTGGCATAGGCTGCCATCTTTTCCGTAGCCTATAGTCCTGTCGTCAGTGGGATCATCGTATTACAAGGTCTAATAGTGTTTAAAAAAAAAAAAGCATTTGAAATGCTAACCAATGGAAGCATTCCCAAAATGTGTGTCAGTCGGATCTCTACTGCAGATACACGTGTGTTTTGTGTCATGAAATGGGAAGTATATTTTGTACAGCCATGTCTGGAGCTCTGCATTTACCCTGTGTTGTGTACAGCTCCCATAAGAGGGCATAAAGAGTGACATGGCTACATTCTGTGCTCAGTTTCTATCCTTGGTATCAAGAAAACTATTTTTTATCCCTCATGGTATTCTACTTGATACTCTCTCAAACTTCAAAATCTGACGGCTTTTTTGCCCATATGTAGATTTTTTTTTTTTAATGTTTTGAAGACTTTCATCTCTTACTACCCCTTTGAACTGGGTGTTTCTTTAAAATGAATAAGGAAGCTTGCTTGGATAAGATGCTTTGTGTTAACTGCTTTGCTTCCTAGCAGGCTCAACTTCCAACATTCAGATGCTGACTAGCCTGTAACAGGCTCTGCCCAGCACTGCTGATGGCTGCTCCAGGAGTGGTGACTCCATCTTAAGTGTACATACTGCATCTAACCTTTCTTCTCAAAGGCTCAAGTGCAGATAATGTTTTTTGAGTCCCATCTGCCAGCCCAACCTGTGCCGTTGGGCACTTCTGACCCAGAGAAAGTGTCAGTAATGTGATCAGAGCTGTAAAAACTGCCAGTCCTTTCCCTAACAGAGGCTAGAGTCGAGAAGGCTCTGGAATTCAGAGAAAGGGAAGTGCTGAGTGCATGTGCAACCCCAGCAGACCTGCCTCTATCTCTGGTGTACGAGTCTCGTGGACAAAGCTCAATGCAGCACATACGAGGCTCCAGTTATGTGCAACAGTCATACAAGTAGGAGCCTAAAAGTTTGCATGTCTGAAAGTGTCAAGTAAGCTCCATATGGCTCCAAAGGCTGCAGTCATACCTGCTAAGGAAAGACAAGTTCATACCAGTCCTGAAACTGGTGTGGGTATTTGAACCCTATGAAGAGTACAGGTTATAATCAGAACAGAAGATCTAGATGTGTTTTGTCTACTGAAATGACTGCCAATCATTGTGTTTCAACCTGGAGTCCTGTTGTTTCGAGGCATGATTGTTCTCATTTTCCTTTCTGAACTGCATTTTCACTTGCATCGTGTAAAAGAGCATCGTTTTGCCTGCAGAGAGCAACTCCATGGAAAATTACGGAGGGCATCCACTTCTTGCCTTCTTTCCCCTTACCCCCAACATCTGATCTAGCTTCCCTTACAGCATGCCATTTTGGCTGTATTAGAGCCCTACTGATTGTATTGTTTATATCTGCTTACTGATGTTTGTCCCTAGGCAAGTCATCCTGCAAGACTAATACAGTATAATTTGCTGTGCTACCAGCTAGCTAGAGTGGGTCTTTTATGGAGTGGTGAGAAAGACATTGATGCAACTCCAAAGTCTTCAGAAATGTGCCATTTTCCAGGGTCTTTGAGGGAAAAACTGGCTGATTAGCCTTTTAGGTTTTTTGAGTTCACCTAATTTCAAGAACAAATGCCAAGTTGGAGAGCAGTATCACAATCTATGCTTGATACAAGTGATCTCCATTATAATATTCAGAGGTGCTTTCAGTTGCCTGTGGTGGCTTTGTTGCATTCCTGTAATTGAAGGAAGAATGCTTGTTTAGGTTGCACTAGCTGAGGATCTTTGAAATGTCCTTGTGATCCCCATCACCCCTAGCCCCCATGTTGTCGTTGAGGCATCTTGACATGTGTTTTGAGTTCAAATTCAGAGTCAGTGGGGTGAAGGTCATAGCCATCTACTCTTTATGTGTTTATGTGGGAGCGTAAAGCTGCTCAAGTGGCTGGAACTGTTAATACTACAATGTTGAAAAGTAATAGTGTATTGTATCACTTGCATGAATGTCTCCATTGAGAGTCATGCTGACTAAAACATACTGATGGACCACAGTTGCCATAGGGTAAATAATTGTTTTTCAGTAAAATAACTGATATTTTAGTGAGCAACTTTATATACCTGCAACAAAACAGTTTTCCTGTATGTAACCTCTAGTATAGTTTTAAATTATGAAGGTGATGGGTATACATGATTTTCCCATATGTTGATCTGTGTGTTCCAAGGTGTGACAGATATTGGGAGGGCCTCAGAGACTTGTCTTGAACTCTTGTCTTTTTCCTTTTTAGATGTGCTGAAAGACATTATGACACCGCCAAATTTAACTGCAGAGGTACGTTTTTACTGTCTAGTATGTGTTCTTCTCTTTAAACTTCAGTGTTTCTGGATGAAGGTATAAAGGAGGAGCTGATGAATAGTAATGTAGGAGATCTGGGCACAAGGAATGATGTCAGATTGCTTTGAGTCATTGGAGAAACTTGCTATATTCTTGATGCTTTCAAAAAAGTATGTTCCTGGCAGTTAACTAGATCAAGATCTAATATGAAAATCAGAAGTCTACTGGAAAAATTGGAAAAATTTTTGCAGAATGGGTTATATAGAAGTTTCTGTTCAATTCAATGTGCAAACTTACTGTAAAATTTAGATGTGAAGCTTAGAGAAGTCTGGGTTTTATGCAGAAGCATCACTTAAAAATGGAGAACACTTAAGCCACTTACTGTTCATATAAAACTACTTTTTGAAGATCTGGCACAAACCTTCAGTTGCTTTAAAAAAAAAAAAATTCCCACATGATGCCTCTTTGAGATGAGTTGGTTCTTAGACACTTTGCAGAGTTACCAGAACCAGTGGGGCTCCTTTTGATCAGACCCTTGGTGAGTGGAAACTGATGTACCTGTTTTGTTAGTATTAACTCCCCAGGTAATAAATAAATACAGATTTACCATTATTCTTTATGCAGAGGAACGTCTCTGTGCACAGTAGTAGAGCTTGTAGTTCCTCTTCATGCAATGCTTCAGAATGGCTGGGTAGATTAGGGAGTAATTGTGTGTACGTAATCATAGGAAATGAATAAATTTTGGCCTTATGGGCAAATACTACATCATAGCAAGGGCTCAACTTCTTTATCATCATTATCATTATTATTATTTTAAAGCATCCCTCTAGTTGTAAAGAGGGTGTTTAGATCATGACCAAAATGTAATTGGCTGTTTTAATGTCTGAATATAGAAGGACTGAAATTTTAATTTTGAAGTCGTCTTTGCTTCTGATTTGCTCTTACGATGTTGAATGACAGTGTCCTGAAACCTCACTCAATATATACAAGCCAGAAAAAAAGTATTTTAAGATCTGCTTGAGCAATACTTTGGGTAAGAGGAGAAAAGGCATAAATGAAAAAGATGTGCTTCTAAAATGTCCAGAGCATATCCTTGCTTTAATTTATGCTTTATATTATGGGGGTGCTCAGATCCCTTCTGTCAATCCCAGCCCAAAATGTTGTTTGTGACAGCACCTTTCACAGCTCTTCTGCATAAGACAACACTGTTGTAGGGAGCTACATGTTGCATTTTTTTTCTTTTCATCCCCAACTTAGTTACCTTAGATAACCAAATCGGTGACTTGGGACTTCCCTTAGCAGAGGAACAACAATTCTACTTTAAAATCTTATGAAGTGAATTAATTTCAAAGGCAACTTCTCATTTTTGCACTTAGCGTGAAACACCATAGTGGTTCAGTATTCAACTTGGATGTTCTTGCATCAAATTCAAAACCAAACGTTGAAAGCTCTTAATCTTCTTTGGACGCTAGCTTTCTGTCTAGGGTTTTTGCAGTTTCTGAAGTAATTTCATGCTGGAAATTGCCTTCTGCTTTGCCACAGGCTTTCCTTTTTTTTTTTTTTTACCCCTTTATGTGCTATGGGATTTTTCTTGCAACGTCTAGGATCTTGGAGAGAGTAATCAGAACCATTCTCCATGCTGTGTGCTCCAGTGTTAGGAACCAAAATCCATGGAGGACCTGCACCCTCTAAGCTCAAGATTGTGCAGCTAATGTTTCCTAAGGTTGCTTTCTGACTCTTAATCCCTCTGCACCATCACAGGGCACCCATTTCATCTACTCCTCATTCCATCTTTGAAGAAAATACCGCAAGGTTTGCCTTTGATCCCAAATCTTGGAGAGCATCATCAGCATGCTGTTACTACTTGGGATTTTTCAGGCTGTTCTTTCAGGACTACTTTGTCTATCCTTTTCATGGGAACCTTATCAGATGTAGTTAAGATAGACTCAAAGTTGTATGGACAAATTCACAGCATCTCCTAACAGCTTATTTTCTTAGGGGTTTCTAAATAAATTCCTCCTTTCATTTACATCTGCTGCAAAAAGTGGCATCTCTAAGTTCACATAAAATGATAATTTGGGGAGTCTTTGGATCTTCCATGTGGAAGAATTTATTAGAGTATGTTTATGTTTCTTAACCTTTGCTGCTGCTTTAGCAAAGTTTATTCACTTTATCGGGCTTCCCTATTTGGTCTTCTGGGAGATTAAGTGGGCAGTCTGTACTGCAAGTGAATAAACTGTCCTTGTGGATCCCTCCGAAAGGCTTCGGACTTCTGCTGCAGTAATTTAGCAGTTCTGTAACTTCATCCCTCACTTCTGCTCTTTAAGTCCTTGGGGATTCATCAAAAGGACCCTTATGTGTGTGACAAGAGAATAGTACTTCCAAAATGAATACAAACACTTGCCAGAAAATGAGATATATTCATTTTTAGACCAGAAAAGGAAATGGTGTTTCTAGCTGAGAATTTTTAAATGAACCAGGCTTGTATTTATAAGATCCCAAGTCTGTCAACTGAGAATTGGGATGCACTTCATAAAGTGCTGTTCTGATGAAACTAGTACAGCCCTATGTAATTCTGCCAGTCAACATGGCATTGTCTGTCATCTTATCTGAGGTGTTAGAGGTTTGGGTGCTTGTCTCTGCTTAATGCTTATTTTTTACTCTCTTGAGTTTTCTTTCATTTCCTGCATGCTCGCTTGAAATTCTTTCCATCTCTAGATGGAAAAAAGTGTTTTTGTGTGTGTATATATCCATATAAGAAAAAGGACCATTTCACTCAGTGGTTTGACTTTAAAACCCATAAGTATTGCAAGTGCCTTACTTTTTTTTCTTTTTCGATTTCTTTTTCGATTACCATTTTTTAGTATGGGAATTGCAGTTTTTTTTCAAAACCCCTTTGAGCAAATTCTGAGAGTTTGTTCCCAATGTAGACCTGACTGCGCTCAGAATTTTTCAGCAAACTTCCTATTGTCTGATCAGTGACTGAGGTCTGGCCCTGTTTTCTCTCAGCAGGTAGTCTAATTATTGCTAGAGTAATGGGTATTCACAAGGTTATTCTTTGTGCCAATGCACTCTTAAAATTCTAGAAAATTCTTAATGTAAGAGACAGAGTCTGTGCCACTCAGTAGTGGTATGAAATAGTCTCTTCATGTAGCAGGATGCTTGCTTATGTATTACTAGAGAAATGTCTGCAATGCAGATAATAAATAGTACATTGCTGAATAATATTTGAATAAAAAAAATTACATGTCTATATGTAGGACGTGGGTTTCATTTAGAAAGCTAAATTTTTGCATGCTTGTCACAAAATTGACCTGTCTAGTTGAGCTTGCTGTAATTTCCTTTTGAGATTTTGATAAATTACTTCTTCTCATTGCAGTTGCACAGTACCCTTTTGAAGACCATAACCCACCACAGTTAGAGCTTATCAAACCTTTTTGTGAAGATCTTGACCAATGGCTAAGTGAAGATGACAATCATGTTGCAGCAATCCACTGTAAAGCTGGAAAGGGACGAACTGGTGTAATGATATGTGCATATTTGTTGCATCGAGGCAAGTTTTTAAAGGCTCAAGAAGCCCTAGATTTTTATGGGGAAGTAAGGACCAGAGACAAGAAGGTGAGCTATTTTCTGTTCTTCTACCTGTATCTTTATGCTTTTCCTACTTGAGGTCAATTTGATTAGTCAAGCCCTTTGAGAAATACTTTTCCAGCGGTTGTGATACCTGGTTTGATTTAGCTTTAACATTATTGGATGAGTGCAGTTGTTCTAAATGAAAAAGCTTTCCTAAGCAGCAGTAGCAATTAGTCACAACACTAAAACCATCTAGTTTTTCCATCTCCTGTTCAAGAAGATCTGGACAGTTTATTTTAAATAGCCTTTCAAATAGCATTCTGCTGTGTGTTGCATCAAATGGGCGGCTGACAAGTGAACTTTCTCGTTCAGCATTTTCAGCCCAAATAAGAGGATTATTCTAGCTTGTTTTGCCTGAATGGATGAGCTGTTCAGCTCCTCAGGTTCTCTTAGTTTCTGTGGTGGTGTTTGGAGATGCATAGTCATTACAGTATGTGTTACAGCTGAATATCCCTACTGGAAGAGTATATCAGTCTGTTGTTGGATGCCCCTTTGCAATAAAAGGGTAATTAAGCCCAGACATTGGCCGCCTCAGAGCCTGCTTCATGAGGTGCTGCTATTTAGTTTCTTGTACTACTCCTGAGGAGAAATGGGAAGATCTCATTTCAGAGAAATTAATGTTCATGGCTACAAGAGCTTTCTGTTAAGACCTTGTCAGTGGTACAGACAGACTTAGCAGTAACTGTATGTTGGACCTTTTTGGCATGGTTATGCCTCATTAATGGGAATTTAACCTCCTTATTTGAAATCTTCTCCAAATATAATAAGGTGTGCCTTGCAAGGTCACTTCAGCAAGCTTCCCTGCTCATCTTCCATCATTTCCTTGTGTATGTTGGTAGAGCAGCCCAGGGGGATCATCCTGGCAGGCCAGTTTCAGCCAGCTGAAGTACAGAGCACTCTGTGTTCCTGTAATATTTGCATAAAGTATTAATTTCAGTGTGTAGACCTCTAATAAGCAGAGCTTCATATTTGAAGGCTCTTGAGAGCAGAAGTGTCTCATAAGGAATTGTAGAATTTGGCTGTTAATTCATTGGAAGGAGCAGATAACTTGTTAGTTTGCTCTCTTTACAAGATGGAGCTGTTATTCCATGTACTGCTGAGAAGATAGTTGTACTGTAATACTAGAGCAGAGACAGTGTCAAGGTTTCCCATCAAAACTTTGTGGCTTTTGGTAAGGGTGCATGATAGTGAATAGGAATGAACTGTTTGATGAATAAACAGTGTAGATAACCTTTATCAGCAGGAGTAATCTAAAGAGCCAGATAAAATACCATGAAAACTACAAAACTTAACAAATACACGGTGAAGCATGTTGTACCTCAGTTTCTCTTTTGTAAAAAAAGGGTAGTATTTCTGCGTGTTAGTGTGTTGAAGGTAAGGTCAATTAGGTGTTCATCAGGACCCCAGTGGTACCTCTGGCGTGTCTGAGGTAATGGAGAACTTAGTAAACAGGAATGGTGAGAGCCTTGTTTAGCTTCACTCTAAATATTGTCTGTAACCAGCAACTTTGTTTTGGTTTCCATGTCTCTACTGGAAGAGTTGATTTCTTTTTTTCCCAGCTCCACTTGAGCATGGTTATCTTTATGTGGACAGTGGGCAGCATGTGATTCACATAATCCTTAAAGTAGTGTTTATAAACAGGTATTCCAGTGCAGGTTCTGGGAGCTTTTTCTTCGTTTGTGGCCCATATTTCAGTGTTATATGTCAAGTGCTGCTCTTTGATTTGACACTTCACCGCACCTTTATGTAGCTGACTTCCTGAACTCAAAGTAAATGAGGCACCAACAGAGCTGTTTGCACCTACAGACAAGAAAAAGCATTTTTCTTTTTTTTTGTTGTTGCTGGACCAATGTATGCATGATGAAGGAAAACTGCCTTTAATTAGGTACCAAATTTTCTTCATTGAAAGCAAGCACAAGGTGCACAGTTTGTATATAGCTGCTCAGAATAGTATAGCTAAAATTGCTGTTGCCATTAATGTGCATGGCCGAGTGATTCTTAGGGTTTAGTCCATGTCGGCAGGAAGTGTCAGTCTAATTGCAAGAGGAAGTATGACTAATTGGTCAAGAGAACAACCTCGAGTACTTCTGTAGCAAGCTACAGTGCCAAGTGCCTGCTGGGGAAAGAAGCTTCGCAGAGGCCTTTGCAACATCAAGTGAGAGTTGTAGATGAGGCTGACAGTTCCTAGATAGTCTGTTGATGTACTGTCATCCTGGGAAAGGTAGTGGGGAATAAGATGTTGCAGAACTGAGTCTAAAAGTCTATCTCTGACCAAAAACTGGGGTGGATTTGTTTAGTTTTTTCTATAAGCTGCCTCTTTTGACTTCTGTAACTCATCATAGTGGAAGGATCCTTTTTCAGAAGAAGGGGATGATGGAGATTAGAAAGTATTGGCTAAATGGTTGTGTCTATCTGTCACCACCACTGTAGCAGAACAGGACTGATTTCTATTTTCTCTTTGAACCAAAGGAGACAAGTTGTTTCCTGAAATTGGATAAGGAACTGTAATTGTCCAGCCTGTTTTCAGAGCTGGGGGAGAAGTAAACCCCCAAAAAAGTCTTCTAAAAAAGCTGCTGCTTCCATTGTTTGAAATGGTTTGCTTATCACCTGTTTTTTTTCCTTAAGATGGACACTGAAATACTACTGTGATGATTAAGACTGACAACTTACCTTCCTACAGCTGGAGAAGGTCTTTATTTATTCCCACTTCTGCCTTGAAGGTTTTATGGTGAGGATTAGACTCGGAAGGAAGCATAGTCTACTCAACAGATAGATATCAGCTGGGAGCAACTATTCAAGTACTTGAGCTGGAGATGATCCATTCAGGAGCATTTTTTGACTGTCATACTGTTGTATTTTTAGGAATGGCTCCTAATAGTGGTGTAACTGAAAGGAAATGGAAACCAATTATTTTGTGCGAGGAATTCTCAGAATGACTACTTGAGCAGGGTAGATATCCAATGTCTGATGTGTCAGAGCTGATCAGTTGCGATGCCTGTTTGTTCAACATATTCAGGTGACAACCTCTGCTAAACCTGATATCTGCAGCCCAGACTAGGTTTACGCTTTAGCTTTACTCTCACAGTAGGGCATGTTATTAAAGTGAATGTGGGAATATTACTTCCAAAAATGTTTGTTCTTCATAATACTGCTCATGCTACATTGAGAGGAGAACCAGGAGCAGCACCTGACACTTTTTGTGATGTCTGCACAGCTTGGCAGTGCCCTGTGAAACTCTGGCATAGGGACTAGAGAAGCTTATCTAATGTCCATTTAAACAACGATGATGGTGATAGATGGGAAATGCAAGCTTCTCAAGGAGAAAATGCTTAAACTACTTCGCTGTTCTTTATTCTTCTGGAGTAAAAGTAAGCGGGGGTTGATTGCATCTCTCGGAATATTAGCTTGTTAGGAAAGTGTTCTGCTTTGAAATCAGACCTTTGGAAAATGGAGAACTTTCTGTTCTGCTTCAGTGTGGCTGGTTCTTAGGATCTCAGCGTAAAGGTTATGTCTCTGGGGAGTAAAAATCTCTGTCTGGAAGGCTAAAAGTGCCCTCTTGGCTGAGAACTGGTTTTGCTTTGAGATTGACTATCACTTTATATAGCTGCAAAAGTGACTCTGTTCCCTTTGTTCTGGTCCCAGCCCTGGTTGTCCTGATAAGGTGTGCTGAGGTTTCTCCACAGGCACATCCTTTACGGCATGAAGAAACTATGAGCAGAGAAGGATGCGTTTTCCTTACCTGTGTGGTTTTCTTCTGATTGGCAGCATTGGCAATCCCAGCTCTGAGGCTGGGATTTTCTCAGGCATGAAGCTCAGATCCCAGGAAAGCAAACTTTAAAGCTCCCTTAAGAAGTGGGTGTGATAACTACTGAGGTAACATCTGAACCAAAAACATGGTCAGTGTAGAAGGCTACTTAAGAAGGTCATTGTACAAGTGCTGTAGGGGAAAAGTCTTTTGTGTAATTTAGAAGCAGCTGAAGTGGTAGAGACATAATGGAGACATAATTACCAACATTTTTTTTAAATAACGGCAGGAAGTGAGTATTTTCATGTGTGCAGAATAGATGCTTGCTAAATTAAAAGTACTCTGGCTACTCTTAGCTTATGGCTGTTGTTAGATCAAGCAAGAATTAGAACTAACAGTTTATAGAAATACTGTGTTCTAGGTTTTGTGACCAAAATGCTCAGACTCGTATATGAAACCCTTTTGTTTATCTCTAGTTTATTGTGATTTCACATTTAGTTTTAATATGGAAGTTTACTTACTGATGCTGTTGCAAGTATATAGTATGGGTTGTTATAAACCATGTAACGCATTTTCTAGGAAATTAAATTATTTTTCATCTTTATCACTTTTGCTTGAAAATATTAGCTATAAGAGCTTTAAAACTATTCCCTTACTTGAAGTTTAAGTTGATTTAAAATCAGTAATAAAAACATTCTTTGGTTATATGTTCTCAAAGCAAGTGTTTACTTCAGAGTTGTAATTCAACTGAGAAGTCCTTCATTTAACAGTTTGGGCTATTGGGCCTATATTAATGAAACTTTCTACTTCTGGTTTTTGTGAAAACATTTCAGAAGGGCATTTTGTAATAAAGGTAGTGTCAGTCTTAAGTACAGTGATACCAGCAAACAGAATCTTTTGACTTCAACTGCTGGCAAAACATCCTGTATTGGTGCTTAAAAATTGGAGTATGTTCAGGGTGCCTCCTGCTTAATGTCTGACACTCCCCACCCCAAAAAAAAGCAGCAGCATGAAACCATCTTTTACATGACCCTCAGGGTGTCTGAGGTGTTTGTTTTTAAGATATGGAAAAATCTGCATTCTTTGCCTCATTGCTTGAGATGGTTGTTTGGAGATACGTGCTAAAGTAACTGGAAGACCAGTGTCCTGCTTGTTCCGTGCTGGGGACTGGTCGGTAATTAATCGCCTGGATAATGAGTGCAGACAGCTTCCTCTTAAACGCTCTGCAGGACGAGTACAAGAGACGTGGACACATGTCTAGGGAAAAGGGGAGCGCGTACAGAGGCTGTCTTTGGGAATGGTTTGGAGGTGGATTATGTCTTTGCTAGTCCTTAAGGTGTCCAGGATGGTCCACAGTGAAGAAATTACTGAGGGTCATTGAGAGTTACTGTACCAAAACCCCATGTGGCTGGGTTTCTGTGCAGTGTAGAAAGCAGCGCAGCACTCCCCTGCTTTCTAGGTACAGCCAACTTGGATGCTTTGCTCGGTGTGCTGGTCTCCAGTGTAGCTACTGCAGAGGTACACTCAGCATAAATCACGATGGTTTATTCCAGGTGCTTTAGCTACCTTTTCATTCGTGCTTTATTTGCCTTTAGTTATATTCTGAGGTAACGGGCAGGAGCTCTGTTAGTGATGCTAATAAATGGTCTTGATGGTTTTTGACGTTTGTTTTCCCTCTGTTCAGGGAGTGACAATTCCCAGTCAGAGACGCTACGTGTACTACTATAGCTACCTGTTAAAGAATCACCTGGATTACAGACCAGTGGCACTGCTGTTTCACAAGATGATGTTTGAAACAATTCCCATGTTCAGCGGCGGAACTTGCAGTAAGTACCCAGCACCCCGTTAACCTCTGCTCTCGTAAGAAAATGCCTTTGAACTTGGTTTAGTTATGTGACAGTTACCATTCTGTTATGTGACATGAAGAGCTGCACATCTTGATGGAGGAGAAGATGATACTTAAACATTTCATGTTCCAAAATCTGCTGGGTTAGAGTCGTCTATCTGCTAGCATCCTCCCAGTTGAGGTCTGTGAAGGACTTGTATGGTTGTTTCACTACAGTTTTAAATTGAGAAGTATTTAACTGTTTGAAGATAAGTGATGCCATGTATGTATATATTTGGATATTTGCTCCTTACTTTTATAAAAAGCTTTTTTTTTTTAATATAGCAACTCTTGGGAAACTTGAATTACTGAAAAACATTTGCTTAATGGTGTGTTGGCTTCAAATGCAGCAGCAGCATTCTTTCCATAATGTTTTTAAAAAAAAAAAAAAATTCGTTCAACTGGGTAAATATCTAATTAACTCTGGAATAAACTTTTCTTTATATGGAAGCTTACAAAGTATTAATACACCTATAAACGATTAATCTGGTTTGCTGATACACAGTGTGTTAGTAAGGAACAGCGGATTCTTTTAAACTTTGGAGTATAAATATGAATTCACTTCTGTCCTTCTGTGGGCTGTGTTACAGGGCAGTAACTGCCTAGTATTGCATGTTCATTTTTTGTTAGCGGAAAAAGTCTTTCTAATGGTTTTTGCTATGGGTATTACTGCAATGTGTAATTAATTTCAGTGCCTCCTGTGGCTTCGATTAAAGTTGCACTATTAATATTGTTGTAAGACAGTACCTGAACATGTAATGCACATAAAAACAATCAACCAACTTGTCAGGCTAGCTGTATTTACAGGAGGAGGAGGAGAAAGGGAGGAGCCTCTGCCAAAAAACCTCTGCCTCTAGGGTAGAGGTATGGAGGGTACAGATTTCTGCAATTACCACTTATTTAATGTTTTGGATAAGCTGTGCTATACTTGCGAAGTCAAACTACAAGTATGAATTGCTCGCGTGAGCATTAACTTGTTTGTCCCTACCAGGCTGTTAGCATGCTATTTTCACAGCAGGATGTTGGGATAAACAAAAGATTTGCTAAGCACATGAGAAGATAGACTAACTATCAACTTCAGCATCTTTGTGTACTATGATTCTGAGGAGTTTTCAGTGATTTTTCAGAATCACTTCAGAATATGAAACCAATGGTCTGTGTTACTTCTTTAGTAGTGTTATCTACTGCAGTGGTAGTAATTTTACCAACAGATAACAACTTTAAATCTGACTTCCTTGTTATCTTCCTTCTGTTTTAAAGTCACTGACCGAGCAGAGTCGTGCCTTTCGGGCAAAATGAAGGGATGGCAGGGTTTCACGGCTCTGAGGATTTGAGGGAGATAAGTAGCAGTTTTATAGCTAGGCTGTTCAGCAAGATAGTGTGGGTATGCTCAGTATGGACTTCCACAGCTCTGCAGGGCTGGTTTCAAGGTGGCTATGCACTCTGTGGCAGGGTATGATTCAGTGTGTATTGTCTAGAGAGCAGTCTGCATCTGATACTAACAGAGAAGTCAGGAGCAAATGCAGAAAGACTTCTTCGAATAAGTTTCATTTAATATTTCTGGTTTTCATGCTGGTGTCTCGCAGTTTCCAAAGAAAATCTGCTTAGGCTGCACCAAAAAAACCTTATAATTTCAGCTGTTATCCCTGCAGATTTAATTTAGAAAGTTATGCCGTGGCTGGCACTTTTTTGGTGATGGTAACTTACAGGACAGACTTACAGTCTGTGTATTAACATCAAATTTTGTCCTTGTTTTTGTTTGTATAACAGTTCTGTTTGTGTAAGAGTAGAAGTCAGTTTGTGCTGATGTGACCACGCACTCTGCATTTCGAAGAAGAGACGAGAAAGAATAAAACCCCTCAGTTACGTCCATGTAATATAGAGATGAGAGGCAACATGTAAGGAAAAGTCAAGAAGTTGTCACTTCATATAGTCATTTCTTATTCTATTAAAAAGAAACAGCAACTTTCTAGGAACCCTATGGTTGCCTGAGAGTATTGCTACAAAGGACAGAAGTCTGTTAGGTTGTTTCCAGTAATATCTAGCAAAGTTTGATGGCCTGCAGTGCTTAACTCTTAATAGATATTTATTTAACTTTCAAAATATCATAGCTCATGATTGTGATTCTGATACTAATATTGTGCTTTTTGACACTTTAAGGCATTTCTTACAAAGTGACACTCTGTTTTGCCATGCAGATCCTCAGTTTGTGGTGTACCAGCTAAAGGTAAAGATATTCACCTCCCCTTCAGGACCCTCAAGACGTGAAGACAAGTATATGTACTTTGAATTCCCTCAGCCTTTGCCGGTATGCGGTGATATCAAAGTGGAATTTTTCCACAAACAGAACAAGATGTTGAAAAAGGTTGGTTTTCTCGCTTTTCTGGAAAATGTTGTTGAGCCAATCCTGATGCAGGGCTGAGATGTTGGTTATTCTTCAGTGATGTGTAATCACAGTATTTAATTCTTTGATGTCTAGTTTTCCCAAGGAGAGAATCTACCACAAAATGAAAGCTGGAGATTTTGAGAGTTGGTGAGATTAAGTACAAAGGTTGGATAAAAATTATACTGGATATGTATTGCAGTTGTTTGGGTAGCAGTGAGTAATCTAATTAAGGAAGAAACATTCTCATTCTAAAAATAGACTTGCATACTGAGCAAGTTAACTCCAGCTGTTTTCTTCACTAATTTTTCCTAAGGTTTAAGCAGGCACAGAAGATCCTGTCTGTGTGCTGTTGGCTGATTTCTACCCATCTGTCAAATTTGGTTGAATTTCCGAGATAATTGAGTTCCTGTGCACTTTGTAAAAGTATCTCTGCAATCTATTCAGCCATCGCTTGGTTCCCAGCTGCAGTGCCTTGATGCTAGATGTTTAGAGAATTCACTCAGAACTGAGAATTTTATCAGTGTCTCAGTTGTGGAAAAAATTAACCTAGAACTTATTTTGACACTGAAGTCAGCGAGTTCTTAAAGATGAGTGCGTCATCACTGGGTTTCATTAATTCTGGTGCTTGTGGAGCTAGTTTGCATCTACCAAAGTGAAAGGTGAGGATGAGATCATGTTGATTAAAGGCTACCTTTGTATTTACTACTTAAAATTCTTTATGAATAGTTGTTCACTATTTAATGGATGTTATAAAACTTAAGAGCATTCATTGAGTGAATCCTGTGTACAGGCAAAGCATGAAAATAAGAAAATAATAGAGTAGATTGGGAGACAAACATAAGTGATAACATATATAACAGTCTTATAACAGTGCACGCAGGTTGTACCTAGTAGATGTGTGTGTAAATACACATGCACACTATTTTGTGGGCTTGTTCATCACAACTGATGTTCAGTTACAAGGTATTGTTAACTCGTTTAATGGTGTAATTTCACTAGCTGGAAATGTTGTGTTCTGTTGTTTGCTATGCGCTGATGTCTGCAAAAGTTTTTAAACAGTTTCTTAATGGGAGTATTTTCTTCTGCCTGTTTTAATAAGATGTTTTAGTTGGTCAATGTGGCTATATGCAATACAGAGAACTGTAAAACAAAGCATTTTAAAAGTAGAAATTATACTTTAAGTCCACATTAAAATTATTGACATTTAAAACTGCAATGCACAGGAGCCAGTTTTGAGAACGGACTTGTAAAGGAGCACCCAGATAAGTACTGTGGGCTAGACATGAGGGATGCAGGGAGGTGATGAAACAAAACCCAAACATCTGAGGCAAGGTCCTGTTTTATCCGGTCTCTGTCCTATCTTAACTGTGAATTTGTAATTTCTTTACCATCTTCAGTAACACATGGATTATGAACGGATTTTGAGGAAGCACTGTGCTGCACTGCCCCTCCCCAAGTAAGCCCCCAAAATATCAGTGCGCAGCTCAGATGCTGGATCTTGGCTCTGTAGCACTAGGAACCAACTCCTGTATTTGTTTTACCTCTATAGAGAGTACTGAGATCCAGTGACAGCATAAACTAGAGCTCCTTGTTATCACATACAATTTCTGTGGTATAAATTTGTTCTTCAAGAGTGTGTAAAATTGTCTGCAGAAACACAGCAAGTGTGTTACTATGCTGTAGTTTCATTTCAGAGTGTCATATCAGCCATGGTTTCATTTCTTAAGAATCTCTTTGTAGTTTCTGAGTAGCTGGTTGATTTTTTTTTTGTCTATTCTTATCAGTACCCTAACTATTCAGGTTCTGTGGATTACAGATAGTGCAGAGGTGCTCCTTTTCTCAGTGTTTTTGGACTGCTAGGGCCAAGAAATGCTGAGATGGTGAAAGCTCTTTCCACATCTGCAAGCTTTTCTGAGAGATAGAAACTGTCCCTTCACTAGACAGAAGTCTTTTGTAAAGAAACCACCTTGATAATCTGCCTCAAAGATCTGTTGAATCTAGAGTCTAATTGCTGTCAACCTTATGTAAGCATGGAGGCCAAAAGAAAGTAGGTATGTGGTGTTACACAGTTCTGGTAATACCACTTCTGTTAGCTCTGCTGTAAATGCAGACACAAATTGAGGGCATCTGGGACTGGGTCTGTGGATCCTCTTGGATGTAAGCATGTTAGTCTGTTTTATGAAACCACTGCTGAGGTCTTCATATTGAGAATTAGTGAAATATTCCATCTCTGACGCATGCTTTGGCACTAGAGGAGATCCTTCCACTTGGTTCTTTTGACAACTTGTTGCATAAAGTGACTAAGATGGGAATAGGGCAAAGGTGAATATTTGTGGCAGAAAACCTACCTTGGCACAAATTTGAATACACTTCTCTGTACAAGTGTTTCACATCTGTGCCTGTTCCTTTTCTAGATAAACTGACTACACAGTTTTTACTCAAAACCCTGAAAGAGAGGGTCTTCCACTGTGGAGACTTTCACATTTTGGAGAAGATCACCTCTATGCAGTGATCACCTAATTAATGAGGAACAGCATAATGAGGAGTAACAGGATCTTATCTTTCAGAGATTCTGATTTATTCACATGTGTTTATGAAAGCTGGAATTACAGGTCTGTTGCCCATCACTGGTTCGTGCTCTTCCAGGGTTTTCTGTTAGCAGATTTATGGGTAGCTGCTAAACAAGTTTTCTTGCACACACTTAAAGGCATCACATATCTACCAGTCTGCATTTTAACTTTCCATAAGAAACCTAATCAAAAAACTAATGAAGTGTAATTCTCGTTCCATTCTGGGCCTCAGACTGAAGAATGGCTGTCTCATGTCTGGAGATAAAGGAAACTTCTGTGTCCTCCTGCTGGGTCTGGTTTGGAGTTTGATAACCATTGATCTCAGCTGAAGCACTCCAGATTTGCTCACCTGCACTTGCTTTCAAATTTCTTAGTCCTCTGAAGAACAGTAGCATTATCTGGAGAGCTCTCTAGTATGGAGGGTCCTCGTTGACTTTGGTCAAGCTCTTCTTGGACAAAACAAAACAAATTTGAATGACCAAGTGACTTAAGCACCTAGTGTGGCAGTGTCAATGTGAAATTTAAAGCAGCCAAGTGTCCTGTTCCTTTAATGGCAAAAATTAATTTAAGCAAATTCAGTGGCTAGCAAGAGCTGACCTCAGCCAAAGGATTATTGGTGCTGGTGAGAAGATTTTGGTAAGAGGGTGACTACTTGGAAAAAGTTAGCCTGTTTCAGCTCTTCCATAATCTGTGCCACTTGGCATCGGTTAGTAAGTCCACAACTTTTTGTCTTTTCTTGTCCAGCGAAGTTGTTTACTTTATTCTTGGACCATTTCTTCAGTATGATGTAGCTACTTCCTTTCAAGAGTGAAATGCATGCTCATATGAGAACAAAATGGCTTGAGGCTCGAGTACAGTTATTATGTATGAATTTCTGATGGATGGAAGTTAGTAATTTGGGTGGTTTTTTTGAGCATTTTTTTTGTTTCTCTGACTTGTAGCTTGGCTATTCTTCCATCTCAGACTGATGCTGTAGCCTCTCTAGGTTTGCTTCCATGTATCTGTGGGAAGCCTTTTTCTGCCAGTTATTGATGTTGACATGATAATCTTAAAAGTATTTCAGAGTATCCTTATATCACTTGGTTCAATGAGAGTCTGTTTAAAAATAATACAGAAGATCTCATAATCTTCCTGCCTGCAGAGCCTGGGGGTAAAGGAGACCTTTTTCAGGAGTCCTCCCAGTATAGATGAGAGGGAAACATTGGTGTGGGGGTTTTCTGTAAGAGTCACTACTGTTTTATACCCAGACTCTAGCGTAGGTAGGGCTGACAGCATTATTTGAGCTGTTGGGTGTGCCATTTCATCTCTTGGGTCTGTATAGATAAGAAGTTCTGCTACACAGTTCAAGAGGACTTTGAGTGATTGCTGTTTAGCAAACACTGAAGAATGAACTCTCAAAATGTCAGAAGACTTTAACTGTTGGTCTGAAAATGGTGTAAGAAGTTCCATTAGCCATGACTGTGGGAAGGCTGTGAGGCCAGTATGGAACAGGTTGAAACATGATCTCCATCTTCTGACTGCTGCATAGCATCTCCAAAACACTTAGCTGGTGCTGCAAAGTGATTATAAGTGCCTGTATATCCCTCTGCAAAATTAAACTCTCAGGAGGATATGGGAGCTCCTAGCTGGTGGCTTAAATGATCTTGGATTTGGATCTCGGTCTGCAGTTAGAGGCAGATATTGGCTCTAGAGTGAGGTATATTTTTCTGTCAGTCTGACAACTGGAAAAACTGCACAAGGTAGGGCTAAGTATTGTATGTCAAAATAGTGTGATTAAATCAGCTTCTGTCTCAAGTGTCTGATACTGCACTGTAGATTTTACGATACAGATTTGGTTATGGGAAGAAATATATCTGCAGGTTTTTTTTTTAAGGCAGATGCCTGTGATGTAACTGGAAGTAAAGCAAAACACATTCAGAAAAAGCCTTTAGCTAATATTTGTTTTCAGAAGCCTATTCATTAAATTGTGTTCCTGTGAGCACTTGATCTGGTATTCTGATTTGCTATATAAAGCCGAAGTTCAGTTCATGCCTTGATTTTTGAAATTCCTATCTTTGGCCCATATTACATCAACTTTCTTTGTTGTCTCCCATGGAGCCTGATGCTTTAGCTGACGCTGGCTGAACCCTCACTTTGAATAATGAGTTTTGTTTTTCAGTGGAAGCAGTGGCACAGTTATCAGCCTTAAGAGCTAATTCCAAAAAACATGACCGAGTCTTCCCTCAATTTGAGTGGCTGTGCCATGTTCCAGTACCCATGAACTTAAGCTAATTAAGTTAGTGTAGTGGGAAAGGAAGGAAAATAACTTGATGCTTTAACAAGCTGGAGGGAGATAAAAGGATAAATGACCGGCTCAGCCAAGTTGTATTGTTTAGTTTGAGTCCCCGAAGACCTCTGCAAACTTATCCCAAGGAAAACAGATTAAAAGATGGCTAGTGAGAAGTTTGTTGTCTGTCTTGTCTTCTCCAGACTTTATCAGTAAAGCTGAGTCCCCGCAATTGCTTGTTCAGGCAGGCCTTTAAGTGCCAAGTAAATCCTTCCTGGTTCTGCTCCACCTGCTGAAGTTTAAGGTGAAGCATGACAAGACCATGCCTTCTGCTTCTGCTGGCATTGGTTTACATCCAGTGGTCTTGTTTGCTTTGGCACTGCTTTCCTCCAAAGCTGCTTCAGCACTATTGGTATAAGCCATTTTCCATCCATCTGCTGCAGTGTGTTCGTCAGCTTTGTCCTCTCCTCTGCTGACCTCACTGGAGGTGTCACGGGTGGCACTGAGGACCAGCGCCAAAGTGCATTGCTGGTTCTGCATTGTGGTCCTGAAGAAGGATGAAACATAGTAGTACCATCACCCTAGCTACTAGAGGTGGGATCTCCCTTAACTGTAGTCATGGTGTGGAAATGCACTTTATTCTCTAAATCCTCACTGGAAGGATGGCCTCTTCACCAGTGGTGAGACTGCAGGTGGTATATCCACCTGCTTACAGAGCTGTTGTGTTCTGGAAACATCAGCTCAGGCTTGCTTTTTCCCACTGTTTATTGCAGATGGCACCTGGACTCCAAATCCCTCCTGTTCTGTAGCTGGAAAACTGATGCCATTGGTTGTTTCTGTTTTGACCTGAACTGGGCTTTTGGTTTGAGCAGGAGTAGCCATCTCATCTCCTTGGAGGACTGCGTATCTTTTGAGGGACTCATCATCTGAGCATAGGAGGAGCCTGGACCCAGGTTACCCTGAAGACGCCTTTGTGGGGATTTTGCCGACTTCCACTTTCTTCATGAGACATCAGCAGGCAGGCTGATAACTCGGAGCATTACAGAATAATAAACCTTCTTGCCCAGGATGTTCATCATCTACTTCCAGATCCTGGGGTGGGCATTTTTAAGATTTTCTGAGGTAGTGTTAGTGAAGAAGAAGAGGGTGCTAAGTGTATGAGCAGTTTGGGCCTGGCAAGAACCGACCGACTGCTGCCTTGCATGGATGGGCTCCAACAAGGCTTCTTCATAGATGTGATGGCTTGAAGGGACTTGGTGGCAGTGGCAAACATCTGTTAGTCTCCCAAGAGAACTGTAATTACAGCATGTTAATTTGGTAGATTAACTTGATTCCCAAAGGTACTGGAGTGGCATGCGTTGAAGTGGATAACTTCTTAACTACCAGAAGTGTTTCTGACCGAATTATTTAACTTTTGTCTTTGCCATTGCACTTTCCTTACAGGTTGGGGGTCTCTTAGGTGCTTACAGAAATGCACACAAGGTGGAAGTGTTTTTGTATGCTTTACCTAAAATACTGAAAACGGGTCTACAGACCTTTGGTAGAGAAGGCAGATAGAAGTTGTTCCATCAGACACTTCTGAATTCCCGGTATTTGTGTGCTTACATGTTTCTATTAGTTCGTGAGGAAGAAGAATATAAGTTAAGCAGTAGTCCAGCTCTTCCCTGCCCCCTTCTCCTTGGCCCAGGAAAATGTTGTGATATTTTGCTGGTCCCAAATTGCTTTCAGCAGGGAGGCATGCTCGTATGATACACACTAGAACCACGCCTGTTCCACCTCTGATTTCCCCCCCCTGCTTACCAGCAGAGGTGAATAGCTAGGAAGGTGGGGCACGACCTGGATTTTCCAATAAGAAATTGGAATTAGATCTCTCTGGTAAACCAAAATACGTAAATTAGCTCAGAAGGAGTCATTTTGTGTTCTGGTCCTGTATAATAATATCAAGGAATGTTAGATTCTGGTATGTGCTAAGCTTTGTCACACCTGCAGCTTTAACAGAAATGCAGAAATACTGACTATTGTGGGAAGACTGGCCATTTGCATTTTGGATCTTTTGCCTGAAAACTCAAATCAGAGTAAAATAGAAGGTTTCATTTTTAAAGAGGAAGTAAATGTAGCTCAGTTTCAGGTGGCGAAGTGGTTAATGTGCTAGTCAGGACTGACCTGCTAATGGTAGTTGATCTTGGAAACATCAACTCTTGACTGACAGGAGTATGGCAAGTGATGGAGAACTAAAACAAGAGCATTCAGTGCATCCTACAGAGCTATTTAGCTGAGAGCTTAAAGATGAAGTTCCTGGGCAATCTCATCTTAAGAGATTGTCTAGCCAAGAGCAAAACACTGCTGCTTGTTCAGTTAACACATACAGAGATAGACACAAGGACCCTTGATAAGCATGTAATATACTTGCTGATATCAGCTAGTTCTCCAGTGACTTTTTAAAATCACTAGTACATTTATATTTTGCCTCTTTGTACAGGTATACTTGTTGTAGTGTTATCTAACTTGTACCTTTCCAGCTGTTGATGGTCATCTGTCAACTTCTGCTTAAGTTGAATATACTAAACTGTCAATGCCTCATCTTCTCATTAAAAACTTCCTGTTGAGTAGAAGGACAGCAGACACTTTCAGAGTCTGACTTTCTCTTAGTACTGGTCAGCAAACATCTCACTGGTAGAAACCATCTCCATAAAGAAGTAGTGAATCCACTACAATAGGAGTCCTGTATTTGTAGGGTGTTTTTGCTCAATTACAGCTATTTCTGTATAAAATAAAGTGTTCTGTTATGCGGGAAGCTATGGGGGAGGAAGTTCTCTGTGGCTAAATATTACTCACCTAAGTCGGTTCACGCAGGTTGTCTGTTGGGTTTGGCTACTGCTTGGCAAGGTATGAGCAAAAAAATCTCTTTATGCCTTGTGATTACATGTTTAACACTTGTTTAATTTACTGTCATCTGCTTTTTTTTATAGGTATGATAGATTGTTTTAAAACCAACTTTTGATAAGGAGTGACTTCTGAAAGCTTAATTGGTTAAAATTGAGTTTGATTAATGCAGAGTTTTGCGTATTGTCTGGAAGAATTGGTGAAAATGTCTTTGCATGCAATGTAACCAATGATGTACTGTTGTCCAAACAAGTTTTGTCTGACACTATCAATTTGTTTTTGACCAGCTGATGATATTAGTCTAATTAATGTGCCACTAGTGAATACTAAAGCCAACTTGTTTTTTGTGTTTTTCCTCCCCCAGGACAAAATGTTTCACTTTTGGGTAAATACATTCTTCATAGGACTGGATGAAAATTCAGACAAAGTAGAAAATGGAAGCCTAGTTGCAGATCAGGAACTTGATGGTATTTTCAGTACAGAGCGCTCAGATAATGATAAGGAATATTTAATCCTTACATTAACAAAAAACGATCTAGACAAAGCAAATAAAGACAAAGCCAACAGATATTTCTCTCCAAACTTCAAGGTCAGTATATATTATGTGTAAACAAAGCTGAAGAGCTGCATGACGTTGTCTGATTTGTCTGTCTTGCCCTACGGAGGAACCATTTGAAACTGCTGTCTATGTAGAAATTGAATTCATGTATTAGTATTGCCACCACTTAGCAAAGCTTCTAGCTTTGTAAATTTACCTGCTTTTTGGGAAGTCGATAGGTGCTGAGAGACTGGGAGTAAAGGCTTCAGGTTGTTTCAGGAATTTATCAAAGCCATTAGAGACGAGTAGTAGGAGACCCAGAGACCCAGGTAGCATCTTTCCTGTACCAGCTGCATTGCCATGAGCTCTGAGCTTTACACAGTAATTCCTGACTTGATTTGCAGAGGTGCCTGCTTCACGGGAATACCTTAACCTGTGAATTTAACTTTGAGGAATATAAGCCTTTGCCAGCACTGGTTTTAAAAATGAAAAAGGCATTTTCAAAAATTTTAGTATTTTCTAACTTGCTCATAAAATATCAGTTAGACCCCAGCAGTGCTCGTTTGAAGGTAATGGTCATAGTTGCTTGTTGGAATGTTGCTTGGATCAGACTTCTAAAACACACACACGCGCGCACACACACACACGCACACGTCACCAGTTACAGTGTTTTGTTCATTCCTGTGCACTCTTACTACAGTCTCTTTTTGTGCTTGCGGAGATCTAGAAGGTAGGATGGTCAAAAAGCTTAGTGTGGCATGGCCCGCTGCAGTGGTATGTCCTGCTGCTATAACTCAAGAGTGCTAGTGGTTGGTGCAGATATGCAGAACTCCTTCATCTGGGCTTGAAAAACCTGCTGGGGTTTTTTTTGCCGGTTCTTTATTTTGTTGGGCGTGGTAGTGAGAGGTTGGCTAACCTCAGAAGAGATCTTTATTTCCTTCTTTCCAATGTAGAGAGAGGAGCGCTTGTGTGATTCAGTGTAGCGAAAGGAGCCATGCTGTTAAAAATTGCATTGTTACCTGTGCTCAGTTAAAGTCCAGGTTCCTTTTTTAAATGTTGTTTTTTCCTTTCCCAGGTGAAGCTATTTTTCACAAAAACAGTAGAAGAGCCATCAAATCCAGAGGCTAGCAGTTCAACTTCTGTAACACCAGATGTTAGTGACAATGAACCTGATCATTATAGATACTCTGACACCACTGACTCTGATCCAGAGAATGAACCTTTTGATGAAGATCAGCATACGCAGATTACGAAAGTCTGAATATTTTTTTTATCGGAGATAAAAAAAAACCCACACAAAAAACCCCCAACCACGAAGAGTGACAAACTTGAATAAACTGAAAAAAGGACCTTTTTAAATGGCAAATGGACATAGTGTCAGATTGCCAATTATAGGAACAATTCTTTTCCTGACCAATCTTGTTTTGCCCTATAAATCTACAGGGTTTGACACTTGTCCAGTTGGAAAAAAAAAAAAGGTTACGTAGCTCTGATATGTATATACCTTTTTGTGTCAAAAGGACATTAAAACTTCAATTAGGAACTATAAACATGGCACTTTCCCATTTTATTCCAGTTTTATAAAAGTGGAGACAGACCTAATGTGTATACGTAGGAATTTTTCCTTTTGTGTTCTGTCACCAAAAGAAGTTTCGAAAATATACAGGTTCACATCCTGCCCCTTTTTTTGCACTTGTGTGGCAACAGAAAAGTCTGCAGTTGGCTAAGAGATGTTTCTAGAAGGTTTTACTACATTCTAATGCATGTATTTTGGATGGGGGATGGAAAGTAATGCTCAGAAAGGAATATAGTCTGCTGGAGCTTGGCCTGTGTACCATATCCGGCTATTTACATGCACCTTTCTTTAGCATGCTACCGTAATTCATCCTGGACAATTGAAGAGTCGCCGCTGTCACTGCTTGTTGTTTGTGCATTTTATTTTTTTAAGTGTAATGGTGCTAGAAAAGGCAGCTAGAGGGAGTGATTCTGTATAGGGGTACAGGCACGAACCTTCGCAACATCCTAAAGACCCACAAATGAAGGGAGAAAAATTATTGGGGTCACAGAAAGGAAACACAGCAACAATGACTTAACCATACAAATGTGGAGGCTATCAACTAAAATATGGGCTTGAAAAAAATTGTTACAAAATTTGACAATGATTTATTAATTGTTTTTTTCTGAATTGTAATGGCTGCTCCATCTCCTGTGTAATCAAGGCCAGTGCTAAAAGTCAGATGCTATTAGTGCATACATCAGTCAACATCTTACACTTATATTATTAGTTTTTCAATCATATTACTGCTGTGAATACTTCATGTGCTGCCTTGCAAGATTTTTTCTCATTAATATAAAATTTTTTTGTAATGGTGCACAGGAAATATCAATTGGAGATTCTCCAGGTTAGTGTTTGTTTTGAAGATTTAGGATGCATTTATTCAATCAAACCTCTGTCAGCTGTTCCACCCCTTTGACCTTACACATTCTATTACAATAAGTTTTGCAGTTTTGCACACTTTTTAAAAAAAAAAAAGTCATTAACTGTTAGGGAGTTTTACTTGAATACTCAGTACCTACAATGTTTTAAAAACAGGCATTACACACGATAGAGGAAACCAGTGTTGCAGTAAATTCTCAACACCGTGTGTATATCAAGATGTGTACTTTTAAAAAGCAGAGCTTGTCCCAAATACATTGTTTGCTATTAAAAAAACAAATCACCCAACAAATTAGATTTCTAAACTGGCAGTGTTGTATTATTTGTTTATAGGGATATACACAGGAGTAGGGCTTGAGATTCACTTTTGGTATATAATTGATGTGCCCAGACTGCAGATGACTTAAGAGTACAACTACTGTTGCATACAAATGTGAAGTAGCTGACAAAATTGTTCTCTCTAAAGTGCGCCATGAATAGCTGTCCCCAAATTGACACTTCTTTTAGGATGTAAACCCCCCCCCCCCCCCACCTTTATCACATTTTTTCATTGAAGTTCTTAGCTGTGTTCTCACCTAGATAACAACTGTGTATGGAATCTGTAAGGGCCCTGTACAACAGCATTAATGGTAAGAATTTGAATGAGACAAGGCAGGACTTCCAGTAGTTACTATTGATAAACGAAGGTATAAAGTGCTTTTTTTTTTCGGTGTCTGTTGGTCAATTTTGCTCATCAGATTCATGATTCTAATTTCTAACAAAGCTGATAAGTATTTTCTGACTTACAGGTTTAATTAGACTTTAATAGCTTAATGGATCAAGATTACTAGTTCCAGTGCTCATTATTCCCACTGTTATTGACGAGCAGGAGGTGGTTACCTTGGGACGTGATGTTTAACTCTTACCCTTCGAATCATGTTTCACCTTGTCTGTTTCTTTGACCGTTGAAAGTTGTGTTGGCTAATAAACAAAAATGTTCATGCTTTAAAAGTATTCGGATATTGACACTGCTGCGTGTCCCACTTTGGATAATAAAAATTGGATTGGTGCGGTTCCAGTATGTAACGCTGAGGGCCGGATTGGAAATCATGATGTGATGGGCTTTTGCACTGTTATTTTTTCCTTTGGAATGTGAAGGTTGGAATGAGGGTTTTGATTTTTTTTTGAATGTTTCGATGTCTTTGAGAAGCCTTGCTTACATTTTATGGTGTAGTCATTGGAAATGGAAAATGGCATTATATATATATTATATATATAAATATATATTATACATACTCTCCTATACTTTATTTCAGTTACCACCCCCATAGAAGTTGACAAGAATTACTATGACTGAAAGGTTTTTGAGTCCTTATTAAAACTTTATTTATGACAGTATTCATAATTAGCTTGAACTGCATTCTGTAGGTAATCTTTCCTTGAGTTTCTGGACTGTATGCTTAAACCTTTTTGGATGTGCAACAGCTTACATGTCTGAAACTACCTGAAGGCATCACTTTGGTAAGAGCTTACTGTTAGGCCCTGAAGCATCCCCTAGTCATTAGTAGCCCCACTCAAAATATTTGCCACAGCTATTAAAGGGCAATTGTATAAATAGCATCCGGATTTGTTCTGTGGCACACATTGTAAACTGAAGTGGAGTTTACATGCAGCATCAAATGTTTCAGCTTTCAAAAAAAAAAAAAGATGCTAGTGTGCAAGTTCCATGTTTAGTCATAGCAAATGTGTGCAATATGTTAACGATGCCTGTGGTTGCCACAAAGTGCCTCGTTTACCTTTTAAATACTGTTAGAAAGTGTCATGCATGCAGATGGATGGGGTGGAACTGTGCACTAAAAGGGGCTCCAACTGCAGTGTTTGGCAGAGCTGCCTTTCTCTGCCGGTTCAAATTTTCAGTCTGTTTTCATATAGCAAATATATATAGATACTAAAAAAAAAAAAAAAAAAAATCAGTCTGTTAAGCAGCCTTACTCTGATTCAGCCTCTTCAAATACTATTGTGCTGTGCAACAGTGGCTCTGTGTGTAATGCTATGCACTGAGAATACACAAAAACCAAGTATGACATGTACAGGATAATGCCTCATACAAATCAGATGTCCGTTTGTTATTGTGTTTAACAACCCTTTATCTCTTAGTGTTAAAACTCCACTTAAAACTGATTAAAGTCTCATTCTTGTCACTGTGTGGGTGTTTTATTGAAGTATTTTGAGTATGGAAATGGTCAGCTAAAATGTTTTGCTTGTAAGCCATGAAATTTTGAGCATTATTATTAGAGCAAAGGATGCTCCTTGTGCATCAAGGGGTTTTAAGGGAACTGCAGCTTAAAACCCTTTCATATTCAGAAGCTTTAAACAAGTGTAGGCATTGGAAGTGCAGATTGTGCGCAGGGAGATCAAACCCTTTACTGTGATGCTGTCATGGTGAGATGCAGGACCGCTTTCCTGGGGAACTAATTTATTTTTAGTCTCCAAGTAAGAGAACTCTTTCCAAAATGTGCGTTACCTTACTTCTAATGCCGACCGGTGCATCTCCAGCAAAATGAGATGCGAGTCAAACCCGAGAAGTCTTTTCCTAAAGTAGCTTTAAATTGGCAATGAGATTCATTTTTTCCCCAGTGGAAAAAGCATGCTCAACATGTATATCAAGTACGTAGTTCGGGGTTTCTTCTATTCTTGTTGCTCATCTATTTTCAAACTAGACTTTAAACTGGCACTTTACTTAAAATATATGTGGTGTTCTCCTTTTGTGTTAGGGTTACTCTCTGAGCCTCTAGGAAAGAGACCAATAGCTCAGTGGATAGCCTCTGCGTTTCTAATGATGGCGAGGAACCAGGGCGCTGTTCTGCACCCTGTGAGTCCCAGCGATGCTGAATTTGGTTACTTTAGGTAACTCTCGTTATTCCTCCTTCCTTTCTGCTGGTGTTAATGTCAGCCCCATATCACATCTGGCTGAGCATATCCAAAAAATGTGTGTATCGAGTAGAGTTTTGATGCTGTGGCCTGTTCTGCTCTTCGGTGGCAAGAGAAGTGGAAAGTAGTGTGGTGCTTTATGGGGGTGGAGTGTTTTCCAGCTGTCTGGCCCGTTCAGGTGAATGACACAGTTAAGGGCTTTACACCATTTTAATAAAACAGCAGGTGGTACTACCCAATCTGTTAATACATGTTCCTTTTTTTGGGTAAGCTTGTTTTTTCATCTAGAAAATGAAAGTAGAGTGGGAAGGTGTAGAAAGGAAGGACAGGAAGCTTTAGGGAAAGTAGTTTGGACAGTGTTCAATATGTTGAGTGGCATCTATAAATACATAGATCTATGTATATGAAGGGATTCTAGTCTGAAGACAGGTGAAAAGTGCTGTTGCAATGTGGATAGAGTATCGTATTTGACTTACACTCTTGTCCTGTTGACTAAAAGTCCCATGCTCCAGTCCTTAGCAGCTAAAAGCTGCTTCTATTAAAAAAAATTTTCATTTTTTCCATTTATGGCTATGCGTATGAGTGCTCTGGTGACTAACGTGATGATTGCACTTCCCAGGGTGGTGCTGGGTGCCTGTATGGGGGATGCTCCTGTGTGCTACATTCCTGCACCTGTGGTTTCC